TACAAGTTGAACAGAGTGGGGGGAAATTCTTTTTAACATGTTTAAAAGTTCATGAGTTTATACAGATTGAAAACTTCATTTCCCTCTTGAGAGTTTCAGCACCTCTTTTTTTTTAAAAAATTTTTTTAGCCCCGCCCCTTTCTCAGGGTCTGATCCCCAGGGAGGGGTGGTGATGGTAAGATGGAGACGAATAGCCCAAGATAGCTCAGCTTCTACTTCTGTGTTCCTAAAGCAGCAGACTATCTCCTTTTGCATTGCACTAGTGTTCATGTACACCCTTATCAGGCTTCTGTGTGTTCTTATCTGTGCTGTTCTTATCTCTTCTCCCCTCTCTGGGGGATGGCGGAACCTTTCATGCTTCCTTCAGCAGGTTTACTTGAGAGCACAATCACCAGGAGCACCAAGGTGTGGTGTTGTTTGCATTGGTTGGATATGCAACGTTATAAAAAGTGTTGATTAAAATAAAACTTTATTTTCTTCCTGTACTGCTGGGATGGGGGGGAGTACATATCATGGGCAACAGATTCAGGACAAAGTTCTTCCTCCCCCCCCAAATGCCTAATTACTCTGTAGAACTCGCAACCACTGGACATAGTGATAGCGCTACTTTTGAAGGTTTTAAGAGGGGGTGAGAGGAGTTTCTGGCAGCATGGCCCATCAATGGCTATTAGCCAGGATGGCTAAATGAAGAAGAAGAAGAGAAGAGATTGGATTTATACCCTGCCCTTTACTACCTGAAGGAGTCTCAGAGCGGTTTACAATCTCCCTTCCCTTCCTTTCCCCACAACAGACACCCTGTGAGGTAGGTGGGACTGAGAGAGCGCTTTCGAGAACTTCTCCTGAGAGAACAGTTCTGAAAGAACTTGTGACTGACCCAAGGTCACACCAGCAGCTGCCTGTGGAGGAGTGGAGAATCAAACCCGGTTCTCCCAGATTCGAGTCTGCGCTCCTAACCACTACAACAAACTGGCTCTCAAATGGAGCCTCCATGTTCAGCGGCACTGTGCCTCTATATACCAGTTGCTGGTAGGCTTCAGTGGGAGATGCTTTGGCCTATGCTCCCCCTACTTGAGGATCCTTTGGGGTAGTTGCCCAGCCGCTGTGGGGAAGCAGAATAGCAGGTGATCGACTGCTCTTGTAGGTGTCGCAGGGGATTAAATGTGAGAAACCCTGACATTTAAAAGCCCCCCCCCCCGAATTTAAAAAATCCTGGCTACGGGCCTGACCAAGAGTCTGATTGGGTCCAAGACAGCTTCATGTCTGCGTTCATGTATGTGTTAATGATGCCCCAAGCTTGGAGATCTCTCCAAAGTGCCTTTGTCCCCCGACTCTGCCCTGCTTAACAAACAGTTTTTAAATGGGTCACGCAACTCCTTGAGTCTTGGCTTGTGCTAAGCCCCTCCCTGCCCCCAATTCGGTGCAGTCTGTTCAATACGACACACAGTCCAGTTTGGAGGGTTAGTTCCCGGCAGCGTGGTTCAGAGGCAGAAGAAAGGGAGATTCGTAGGATCCTTTTAGAACTGTTTCTGGCCCACTGCAGTCGAGGAGGGGGCCGGGTAGTCCGGCAGAATCCCAGTTCCCATGGCAACACCCTGTGATGTTTCCTGGGTGACAGAGATGCTCCGAAATTGTGTACCCGTTGCGGAGTGTGAAATGGATAGGGCTGCCCTGAACGTTTTCCCGCTTGGCATGTGGGGCTGGAAGGAGTGCTTCTGCAGGGCAAAATATTTTCCCCCAAGCCCTCCCAATAATGAAAATGTCCACCTTGGTTTTGACTCCGTTGGCTGCCATTGTTTTTGTGGTCTGCTGCTGTCATGGCCCTGTTTTTTGCCTGGGGGTGGGGAACTGAGTCAGCTTCATTCCAGGGAGTAGACACCTGGGGAATTCTGGCCCTCTGGGGCTCCTGTCAAGAATGGGATGATGTCATAACAGTGCCTGTCAAGAATGGGATGATGTCATAACAGTGCATGGCCAATTAGAATTGACTGCAGTGACAGAGATGCTCCGAAATTGTGTACCCGTTGCGGAGTGTGAAATGGATAGGGCTGCCCTGAACGTTTTCCCGCTTGGCATTTGGGGCTGGAAGGGGTGCTTCTGCAGGGCAAAATATTCCCCCCCCCAAGCCCTCCCAATAATGAAAACGTTCACCTTGGTTTTGACTCCGTTGGCTGCCATTGTTTTTGAGGTCTGCTGCTGTCCTGGCCCTGTTTTTTGGCCTGGGGGTGGGGAACTGAGTCATCTTCGTTCCAGGGAGTAGACATCTGGGGAATTCTGGCCATCTGGGGCTCCTGTCAAGAATGGAATGATGTCATAACAGTGCCTGTCAAGAATGGGATGATGTCATAACAGTGCATGGCCAATTAGAACTGGCTGCATGCTGATGTCATTGAGGGCCAGTCAGTGAGCCTCCGAGGAGCATTGCCATCAGTCTCGGTGAATGAATATTCTTTCTTGTCTAAGAAATATGTAGGTAATGGGGCTTGTGATGTGTGACTGGAGTGTCAACTACTGGTGCAATAACTTTCTGGTTCAAACTTAGTGGGGGAACTTATGCCTATCTTAACTCAAGAGAGTTTTCGGCTAAACATTAGGAGGACCTCCTGACAGAGTGGTTTCCGAGGGGAACAGGATTTCTCTGGAGGTGGTGGGCTCTTCTTTTTTGGAGGTTTTCAAGCAGAGGCAAGATGGCCATCTGACAGCCATGCTGATTCTGTGAACTTAGGCAGGTCATGAGAAGGAGGGCAGGAAAGGGTTGCCTCAGTGCTTAGTTCTCGTGGCCCTTTCTTACACACCCAAGGAAATGCTGATTGCCACTTTGGGATCGGGAAGCCATTTTTCTTCAGGCCGGTTTGGTCACGGATCCTGGAGGGTTTTTTTGCCATCTTCTGGGCATGGAGCAGGAGTCACTGGGGGTGGGGGTGGGGAGGTAGTTGTGGATTTCCTGCATTGTGCAGGGGGCTGGACTTGATGACCCTGGAGGCCCCTTCCAACTCTATGATCCTATGGTTCTATCGATACAAATTCTGAATATGGCCCAGGAGTACAGATCAAAACATTTGTACACTGGGGCTATGTACAGATGGGGGGGAGGACCACTATTATACTGTTGTGAGGAAAGTACAATCTGCACATGTTTAGGGGCAGCCATGGATTTGCAGGCGGATTACGTTATGTTGGTACACTGCTTTTCTATACAGATTGGCACTCAGACTGGCTTATAACAGACAAATACAGCAAAACAAAGAAAGAGTTTTGGGATGTGTGAAGATCCTTTCCGCCCCTGGCAGCTGATGACCCAGGCTAGTTCCAGGCTTTTCTCTGCAGAGGGAGGAGGTAAAAAAGAGCTGCAGGTGGATTCAGGCCAGACGGAGGCAGAGAAGCCAACCTATGGAAGTAGCCTTTCCATTGATCTGCCAACCATTGGCAGATGTTTGCGGTTGCGATGGCACATGGTTCTGCTGCCAGGATTGTGGGAATTGCCTTGGGGGATCTCCATAACACCATCTGTGGAAGGCTTGATCAACGTGCTCTGGCTCTCTTTACAAATGCTTCCTAGTTAGGTGCACTGATAAGAGCCTTTTGTAAGGCACGAACGAGCCTTACGTCTCAGACTCCCTGGGAAATGTTTACTTCATTCACATGCATGTGAGTGCGGAGCAGAACAGGCCGAGTTTTGATAGTTGGGGGATGATTTCAGACAATGTGTGGGAATGTAATTTGATATAGCTATGACTGGTGTGGCTGAATGGAAGCCACTTTACTAGCTAGGATTCATCAGAGTGGGAACTAAAGTTGGCTCTTTAACCATAGTTACCCCTTAACTGTGGAGCTGCGGTGGCTCAAGTGGTTAAGACGCTGAACTGCAGGCTGTGGAAGGTCAGTAGTTCAGCAGTTCGAGACCTGGGTGCCGCATGATGGAGTGAGCTCCCGTCTCTAGTCCCAGCTCCTGCCAAACTAGCAGTTCGAAAGCAAGACATTGCAAGTAGATAAATAGGGACCACTTCGGTGGGAAGGTAACAGCGTTCCGTGCGCCTTGGTGTTTAGTCATGCCGGCCACATGACCACGGAAACTTCTTCGGACAGCGCTGGCTCTTCGGCTTTGAAACGGAGATGAGCACCGCAACCCTAGAGTCGGATTCGACTGGCTTTCGAGCAAGGGAACCTTTACCTTTACCCCTTAACTATGGTTTTGTGTAATGTATGAATAGAGACATCCTGGCTTAATCCTGGTTTCATCGTGGCTTCTGCAATGACATGACTGTACCCAGGGACAGTCCTCTTAATTAAACTGTTCTTCTTTTCTTTCCTCCCAACCATGATGTCCCCACATCCCGTGATCCCATGATCTCCCCCACATCCAGAAATCGACGAAGATCGGCTCCCCAACCCTCTGTTGAAGGTACGTGGCCCTTGCTTTTCTCTAGTGTAACTTGGACCCATGGCATGCAACCAAGTGGTGAAGCTTTTTGCGGATGGTGCAACTTCATTTGATTGAATATGTGTCGCTCCACCCCCCCCAAAAAATAAAACCCTTCCATGTGCATGAAGTCTAGCCTTTTATGTGCTGGTTTCTTATGGAGAAAGGGGGTATTGACTGGGGGAGAGTTCACAAACACAACTCCCCACACATATACTTGCACCCTGAAGTGAGACAGTCCAGGTGAGACTTCATTGCTTGGACCAGTTCATAAAATCCGCAGGACCATCTTTATCATTGAATTAAACTTCATCCAGAGATATACCATGAGCAAGATCGTGATAATTGTACATGCTGGGTAGATTCCATCGATCCATCAATAGAAGGTGCTGATGGTCGCAGATCTTCCCTACTTTCTCCTAGCAGCCAGAATATCCCAGCTTGGTCCAAGCTTGTGAGAACTTGGGAAGCTAAGCATGGTTGGCCATGATTAGTACTTGGGTGGGAGACCACCAAGAACGCCTGGGGTTGCTATGTGGAGAAAGGCAATGGCAAAACACCTCTGTACATTTTTGTCTGCCACCATCTCCTCCTTCTCCTTCTCGTCCTCCTCATTCTTCTCCTTCTCTTTCATCTTCTTCTCCTTCTTTTTCCTTCTCCTCCTCCTTCCCTGCCTCCTTCTCCTCCTTCTCTTCTTCTTCTTCCTTTCTCCTTCTCCTCCTCCTTCCCTGCCTTCTTCTCCTCCTTATTTCTCTTCTTCTTCTTCTTCTTCTTCTTCTTCTTCTTCTTCTTCTTCTTCTTCTTCTTCTTCCTCCTCTTCTTCTTCCTCTTCTTCTTGCCATTTCCAGTCACAAGAAAGTTGAGTCTGAGGGCCAAAGGGCCCACATGGAATAAGAGCCACATGAGTCTGTGAGCTGTAGGGAGGAAGCAGAAAGGGGCAAATCGCTCCCTCCTCCCTCTTCATCAGTGGAGCTCTACTGAGGGAAGGAGCAGGAAGGAGCCATTTCAACTGCTTCCTCCTTCTCCCTGCAGCTCACCATCCCTCGTGGTTATCATTCCACACAGGTCACACAGCCCTTTTGTGGGTTCAGAAATGGCCGGTGCTGGAGTGGGGAGGATCTGCAGTCCTTCTCCGAAGATCTGCAGTCTTTGTACAAAGAGATTGCTGGATTGAACCCCTTGGTCGCGAGTCATTGTACACTGTACTCAAGTTTGCCATCTTGTTGCATAACCAGGAGAGATTCAATAGTCAGGGTGTTCCTCATCCCCGCATCAACCTGGTCAAGGCATCGCAGCTCCAGAGAGAGTTCTAGCTTAGAGGTTGGCTGATAACCTGGGATGACCTAGAGAAACGCCAGGCTGGCTGAGGGCTTGCTTTCAAGATCCTTGCCAGAAAAAAAGAGGCACGATGGCTTTATCTTTTGGGAGAAGAAGAAGAGGTTGGATTTATACCCCGCCCTTCACTACCCAAAGGAGTCTCAGAGCGGCTTACAAACTCCTTTCCCTTCCCCTCCCCACAACAGACACCCTGTGAGGTAAAAGAAGAACAAGAAGAGATTGGATTTATACCCCACCCTTCACTACCCAAAGGTGTCTCAGAGCGGCTTACAAACTCCTTTCCCTTTCCCTTCCCCTCCCCACAACAGATACCCTGTGAGGTAAAAGAAGAAGAAGAAGAGATTGGATATATACCCCGCCCTTCACTACCCAAAGGTGTCTCAGAGTGGCTTACAAACTCCTTTCCCCTCCCCTCCCCACAACAGGCACCCTGTGAGGCAGGTGGGGCTGAGAGAGCTCTGACAGAAACGGCTCTTTTTCAAGAACAGCTCTTATCAGAACTATGGTTTGCCCAAGGTCATCCAGCCAGGTGCAAGTGGAGGAGTGGGGAATCAAACCCGGTTCTCCCAGATTAGAGTCCGCACACTTAACCACTGCACCAAACTGGTTTTTAAAAAACTACTCTTTAGAGAGACCTTTTGCACTTGGCAGTGTCCTAACTTGTCCCCATTCATTGGGCTCCACCCCTGAGCTCTACTCCCAGATTTGCTGTCCCTTCTAGACCCTGCCCAACGACTGCAATGTTTGGATTTCACAAACTGGCAATCCTGTTTTTACAAGGCTGGTGTTGAAAGTTGCCAGATACGGGCTTTTACAGGCTTTGTGATTGCCTGGCTGCCAAGCCTTCCCTCTTACATCGGGGAATAAGTAAGCCAGGCAGCTCAGCAGTCTCTGACAGTCTGCCCTGAAATTGGACAAGGTTTAAGGCAAAGTGATTCAAGACCACAGTAGAAAACACAAACCAATAAAATACATACTTTTGGTAACCCTCAGATGGGTTTTAACGTGAGACTTGAATGAATAGGGTTGTTGGGCCTCCTGCTACGGTGGGAGGTCTCCCACCAGCAACCCGCATTTCCCGCTGCCACTCAGAGTGGAAAAATGTAAAAACCCATTAGCATTGTGTATACTTGTGACATGGCTTCCAGGGTAGCTCTAGGAATTGCCAGAAACTCTTTGGCTTTACCATACAGCTTCTGGCAATTCCTAGAGCTACCCAATGTCACTTCCGGGTTTTCCCAGAAGTGACATCACAGCACATGCAGTTCTGCATGCCTCCCCATGTCCCTGCCATCCCAAGTTCCTGCCAGTTGCCCTATGAGTGAATGAGAGGCCTTATGAAAAAGAATTGGCTGCATCCAACCAGTTCTTCTGCTGGTGGAAGAGGGAAAAAAGGTTCCTGTTCTGACCACCCAAAAAGCTATGCTAGGGATCATGGGACCTATACGGGCAGAAGCCATCTAAGAGGGGTGTTAGGTGAGACTTGAGTGAATGAACCAGCTGGATCCAATAAATGTGTTTGTACCTTTTGTTGTTTGACCCCATTCGTTTTCAGTACTTTACAGATCATGAGCACTAGAAACATACTTAAACATAAAAGCAAAAGACTGTTATGTTCAATATTCCAACAAGATCTTTGGCACAGAATGTCATTTGGAGAAGCATACAGGCCTTGGACTTTATGGATTGCCCATTTCCCCCCCTGCCTTTGAGATCTTTGCGATGAGTAAAAACATTTGGTAGGGGAAGTGTTTCCATGCATGCAGTTATTGTCATGGGGATTCTCTTGCTGATTTTTTCCCTTGTTTTGATAGACATAGGAGGCATATTGGGGGGGGGGAACGATGGGGTCTGTAACCATCTGTTCTCTGCTCCTTAGGAGTAAGCGGTCCATAAAGATTTCACCTTTTACTTTGTTTCCAGCCGGGTCTGTCAATGTCTCCGAGACAGAGGAAGAAGGTCTCCCGTACCACGCCAACCATGAAAGGTAACCATGTGACATGTCTGTCTAGCTGGCACATATTTCTTCCGCTCTGCCTCCCAGGACCTGAAGGTAGCACAGGTGGTTTGCCCTTCCTCACTTTATCCTCACAACAACCTTGTGAGGTAGGTGAAGTTGAAAGATGGTGACTACCCAACATCCTCCAGTGAGCTTTGGGGCAGAGTTGGGACTTGAACCTCCCAGATCCTAGTCTGACAACGACATTACATTGACTGCCTAACTGTACCAGGCAGCCGTTTTGTATGCCTGTTTGCCCTGACCTGGATGGCCCAGGCTAGCCTGACCCTATCAGATCTCAGAAGCTAATCAGGGTCGGCCCTGGTTAGGACTTGGATGGGAGACCACCAAGGAAGTCCAGGGTTGCTCCAGCGAGGCAGGCAGTGGCAAACCACCTCTGACCTTCTCTTGCCTCCTGATGGCACTTTCCATCACCACCCTCAGATGTGATTATTGATTTGAGATCATGACCTCTCTAGGAACACCCACTGGCCATTGCCAGAACACCTACCCGGCATCGTTGAACAGCCAGGGGGATGTAGTGATTGGAGTGCTGGACTCGGATCTGGGTTCAGATCCCCGTTTTGCCCTGGACCCTTGGTCCAGCCATTTTATTTATTTGTTTGTTTATTTATTATTTAGATTTCTATCCCGCCCTCCCCGCAGGCTCAGGGCGGCTAACAGGGCATAATGCCAGATAAAACAATATAAAATATTAAATTACACATAGACAAATAACAAACAATTAAATAACATCCTAAAACAATTTTGGTGCTCCTCTATTTGCTTCCAGATGTTAAGATTCTTAAGAGCAAGATGGCGTTCTCAGTAACATAGCTAGACAACTACGGCAGTGCATATCCCACTGCCCTACCGTCCCCTAAAAGACGTCCCATTCCCTCCAATGATGCACACATCAAGATGGCGATATGCGGAACTCATAGGGCGTTGATGGAACAGTGATGGTGGCGGCTCCTATTCAAAAGCCTGGCGGAAGAGCTCCGTCTTGCAGGCCCTGCGGAACTGTACTAGGTCCCGCAGAGCCCAGATCTCTCTCAGCCTCGTGTACCTCACAGGGTGGTGGTTGTGAGGACAGAGCCTCTGCACATCTAAGTAATTGTGCTTGCATGGGGGAAAGAATAATAATAATTGATAATTATTATCATTGTGTGTAGAATAGCCAGGAGATCCTAAGATTGTCTGGCAGCCA